AGAAAGATGGAGAAAAACTGACTCCACAAAAGTTTTCCTCTGACTTCCACACACCTGTCTCATGCACACATTGAAATAAAATAATAATTTAATAATAGCATTATAATCCAGTCTGCTGGCATAGACCTGTGGCCCGAGTTACAATGGTGGTTGAGACAGGAGGCCTTCTTTGGGTAATTCTGAGTGAGTTCAAGGTTATCTTAGGAAACTTAGCTCCTGTCCCCAAATATGAAAAAAAAAAAAAAAAGGAAGGGGGAAGGTTGGAACTAGGGCTCAGTGGGAGAGCTTCAGAAATATGGAAGGAATAGCTTAATTTATGCCACAGTAGTGGAGGTAGATAATCCTACCAGGGTAAGGTGTTCTTCCACTTGGCAATAGTGCAAACAGTTTCCAATCCCCTTGGCATAGCAGCTCTGAAATTACGCCAATATAGACCATGTGTAGCCCTGGCTGTCCTGGAATTCTCTCTGTAGACCATTCTAGCCTCGAACTCACAGGGATCTACCTGGCACTGCTTCCTGAGTGCTGGGATTAAAGGCACGTACCACCACCTTCTAGCTAGATCAAGTATTTCATTTTAAAATATTCATATTATTTTCAATTACTTATAAAGTCACACCATTATTTTCCTATTATATTAGTTCAGTTTTGGCTTGGGTAGGAGAAAGACAGGTTAAAACTGAGTTTTTAGAAAGTTACTTGGTCGTAGTGGAGCCAATACATTCTATTTTGGGGGGCAGACCTTGGAACTTTCCTCTAAAACTCAGTGAAAGCAAGAAAACAAGAGAAGCCTGAAACCAGATGAATCCAAATGTAAGACTGTCTCACTCTCCTTTTTTCTAATTTATTTTGTTTTATGTATTTACTTTGAAGTTTTCATTGCTTTGTTCACCCTCCATTAGCTCTCGATACATCATGATCTCCTCCTCACAACTTCTCCCCATTTTTTCTCTGATTCTTTCTGACTCATGTTTCTTTGCTTTCTCAATTCTAATCTATGAACTACAGTTCTCAGTGGATAAGAATGCCTTGAACATTTTACCTAATAGTCTCTTGCTTATGTATGTGTGTGTAAATGTTCATGCATGCACATGCATGTGTGTGTGTGTGCGAGACCAGAGGACAGTGGGTGTTAGTCCCTAAGTACGATCCATCATTTTAAAAAGTAAGGAAACCATATTTATTTTTGTGTTTGTGTGTCCACATGCCTAAGGTCAGAGGACAACTTGCAGAAGTCATTTCTGGGCCAGGACTGGTGGCAGGCACCCTTATCCTCTGAGTCAATATAATGGCTACACCCTCCCCCTTTTTTGAGACAGGACCTCTCAATCTCTTGGAATTTAGCTACTGGCTGGACTGGATGGTCAGCAAGCTCCATATGGATGCACCTGCTTCTGTCACCTTAGCACTGGGGCTAGGAGCTCACTGCACCGCTCCAGGTTTTTTTTTGTGTTTTAACCTTGCATTCTGGAGAATGAACACAGGTCCTGGAATACTTTTCCAACCTTGTCATCTCTGAAGCCTGCATCTAATATTCTCATAAAGACCCTCCCAAGAGAATATAGCAAGAACTGGCTCTTCAAATCAAAAAAGTTGTATAGACCTTTGAAAACTAGACCACAGAGAGTGAATGGCAGGATATCATGATGAAAGCTAGGTCACATGAGTTCCAATTTTGCCTGGGGCAAGTTACTTAATTTGGGGGGCGGTGGAACTCAGTTTCTTCATTTGGAAAACTAGGAAGCTGGAGGTCAAGTTTTAAGGTCTTTTCCAGCCCCAGCATTCTGCAATTCTAGACTATAGTTAAAGCTGCCACAAAAGAGCCATATATATAGGGCAAATGTCCTAGTAGCCACTTCCTCCGGTAGTGACTCTCAACCCGTGGGTCTCAACCCTTCCACAGGGGTCACTTAAGACTATCAGAAAACACAGATATTTACATTATGATTCATAACAGTAGAAAATTACAGTTATGAAGTAGCAATGAAAATAATTTTATGGTTAGGAGTTACCACAACATGAGGAACTATAAATATTAAAGGATCAAAGCATTAGGAAGGTTGAGAACCATTGGAAGGCAATACACAGCTATAGAATATCATTCAGTCAGAATTTTTAAATTACTAGGAGTTTAAAAACATAGTATTGTATTAAAAGTAAAATGCTGTGAACTTGAAAAGCACTTATAATCCCATTTGCCCTCTCTGTGGAACTCTAGTTCTGTGAATAGGTATGGGCTGAACAGAGGACCCTGCTAGGAGATTAAATCTCTACAATCAGGGCTGAGGAATCCCATCAGGACGGGTGAGTGTGTGCTAATCAGGGGCGGACTGTCCCGGAAGAGAGCACAAACCCCCTCCCCCAGCTCATTCTGCAGGGCTGTCTTTCTTTCGCACGACCCAGCACCCCCAGCACCCCTCCCCAACCCTGCCCTGCTGTATGCTAGGACCAGTGCTCAACTACAGTCTTAAGCTCCTAAACTAAGGCGACCCACCCAGAGCGGTGAGTGCCAGCCTACCGGGCAGGCCTCAGGGTCCCCTGTAAGGGAGCCCGGGCACCTTCAGCTCCGGCGCCAGGCTTCCTGCGCGCTCCTGGATACCACCCCGCCCCCCCACTTGCTCCATTCATCCTGTTGGCCCTGGATCATGGGGCTACCGGCGGCCCCGTTTAGTTGCTGAGGAATCCCATCAGGACGGGAACGTTTCCTGCTTCTACACTGAAGAGATATACCCAGAGAGTCAATCACAGCAAAGACTGAACCAAGAGACCAGGCCTCTCCTGGCTCCATTTGAAGGAAGAGATGGGAAGGTGCCAATACAAGAATTCCTCCAACAACCTGAAAGGCATCATGACACCACCAGAAACCAGGGATCCCGAAATAAGAAGAATTGTACACCCTACTCCTGAAGAAATAGAAGAAATCGACTCAAAAGTGAACTATATGAAAATAATAGAGGACCTTAAACAGGAGGTGAAAAACTGCCATAAACAATTAGAGATTACAAACAAAAAGGTAGAGGAAATGAATAAATCGCTCAAAGACACGCAAGAAAACCAAGAGAAACAAGAAAAAGCAATCAAACAGGTTAGGGAAGCGGTTCAAGACATGAAGAATGAAATGGAAGCAATGAAGAAAACACAAACCGAGGGAAGGATGGAGATGGAAAATCTGGGTAAACGAACAGGAACTACAGAGACAAGTACTAACAACAGATTACAAGAGATAGAAGAAAGAATGTCAGACACTGAAGATACCATAGAGAAAATAAACACACTGATCAAAGAAAACAGCAAAACCAACAAATTCTCATTACAATCAGATGGGAAGTTTTCTTGGCAGCAGCAAGATCAACACTCAACATTTCAATTCTTTAAAAAAAAAAAAAACCCATCTTTATTGTAGCCAGGTGTAGGCAGTGCACACCTTTAATCCCAGAACTTGGGAGACAGAGGCAAGTGAATCTTTGTTAGTTTGAGTCTACCCTTGTTTACATAGTGAGTGTAAGGACAGTCAGTGCTACAAGATGAGGCCCTGTCTCAAAACAAAACAAACAAAACCCAAACCAAAACACCTGTATTTAGTTTGTGTGTATGAGTGTATGATGGGATATGCGTGGAGGTCAGGGGCAACTGTGTGGAGTTGATTCTCTCCTTCCCTCTTTGTATGGATTCCATGAATCCATCTCAGGTCAGCAGGCTTTGAGGCAGCTCTTTTACTTGTTGAGTCACCTCACTGGCCAGGTGACATTTCAGTTCAATAAGTCAGTTAGCCCTTGACAATTGTGCCATCTTACAAATGTGTGTGTGGGATGTGGAAGCAATAGGGGCAGAACACAACAGGAAATTAGATCATTAATGACAGGTATATTTAATCAACTGTTAAATATTGACAAAAAAGGTCAGATGAAACTGACATACTTGGAATGAGTGTGTGTGAAAGGAGAGTCGATGTTAATTTTGAAGAATGCTCCATATTTGAACAGAGAGAGAAGGGGAAGAGTAGTTGTGTGTTGGGGAACAATGGTGTGGTGGGGATGGGGTGGCTGGTGGAACAGTTCTCTTCTGCAGCAAACAGAAGAATATGAAGAGTTTTGAGAGTCCTATGGAAGAGTCACACCCTGGTTAACAGCCCCTCTCTCTGTTCCGAGGCTCTTGTCACACTGCAGGTAAGAGGTAAGGTACTCTGCAGGAGCGTGTCATAAAATTATTTGGTCAGCCGGAAATAGGCAAAAAGTAAAGAGATTAAAGACATTCTTGATTGGTTTTGTTATGTGACCTCAAAATAGAGATAATTTTATTCATCCCTTCCCTTGTGGAATAATGTCTACCTGAAGAATGCTATATTGTCCAAGTACAGACCTGCCCAAGTCTTCTGCTGCAGATCTTATCGAGTATCAGCCTTGCATGAGGTCTCTTTTGCTTTCATAGGGTAGCCGAAACTGTTTCTAGTCATCCTATGATGCCACTGCCTTTTAGATCTCATACTATACTCTCACAAGTGGATGAGAGAGTATCAGAGGTGAAGAAGTCTGTGCACCTTACCATCACAACAGTCTAAAAACAAAGCAAGAAGATTCTTACTTTCGTCCATTCAGTCAAACCATAAAGAGATCTGTAAATATACAAAAAGCCGTAGAGTGTTCGGATAGAGACTCTCAAAGAATATTTATTTAAGAAAACATGTGGTGTACTTTACAATAAACCACTAGGTGACTACTTTAAAATTTTTTCAGATTTAAATATTTTTCTAGCGCAGTACTTTACAGTAATATGAAACATAGTCAAGAGAAAGAAAAGCTCTCCAGGGTCCCTAATAATTTTCAAAAGATGAAACAGAATCTGTGCCCTGAAGTGATACTCCTGTTCTCAGCTTCTGTTCCTTGTATGGCTCCTGACTTCCCCTCTTGGTGATAGAGGAGACATATTTCTCTGGAGCATTTTGGCTTATTTGCCTCTAATCCTCATGCCATTGTTTCCAAATAAATAGAGACTTGTCTTACCTCAGCCAAATAGTTCCCTCCGAGAGGAAGTGACTCGGAAGCTCTTTCTTCTTCCTAACACTGGAGCTGTGGAAGGCGGCAGCCCTGTCAGCAGCTGGAATACAGAGGACATGGAGGTACAGAGAGCTTTCAGTCTGGGTGAGGACCGAGGCATGAGGAATGAGGAAGGAGGCAGCAAAGGGAGGAGACTGCCCCTGGCACGCCTCAGCCTCACACCACACACTCTCTCCAAGGTATGAGAAAACTTACAACAAAATCTTAGAGAACACAGGCATTTCCTTTAATGTAAATGTCAGTATTTGGTGTATCATCTCTTCTGTGAAAGCTGGGGTCTGGCCCTTCCCAGGCCCATGCCTCTTTCAGGTTAGGAAAGCAACGTAAGGAAATGAACCTGCTTGGGTAGAGCATCTTTTCTCACATTGGGCCTTCTGTTCTGATCTTGTTGCACTTCAACATGAAATGCTTTTGGCTAACACACTGGAGTCATTTCTATAATATAGTCATTACACCTAAAATACATCTAAAATATATTTTTTTGGGGAAAAATATTTTTTTGTATAGTATTTTCTTTCTTTCCTCTTTTAAGACCGTATTCAGGATTTTTCCTTCCAAGGTCAATGTGGTGTCACAGGACACTTACTGGGGCTGTTCAGATTTACTTCTCAGTGGCCTGGAAATAAAGCCTTTCCACTATCACATCAAATACCAAATCTATATCATTAGAATCTTTCCTGTGTATGCACGCGTGTGTGGGTGTGTGGGAGTTGTACATTCACGTAGAGGCAGAAGCTAACCTCCGGTGTTGTTCCTTAGAACTGTCTTATAATGGTTTTTGACTCTCACTAGGACCTGCGGTTCACATGATTTGACTAGCTAAGTTGATGTGCTAGTGAGACCCAGGGACCTGACTGCCTCCACCACCCCAGTGCTGGGGTTACAAGTGTGTGCATCATGCTAATAGGCTGTTTAAAAGGCTTTTTTTCTCTCTCTCTGTGTATGTGTGTGTGTGTTCGTATGCCATGATACATATGTAGAGGTCAGAGGACAACTTGCAGGAGTGAGTTCTCTCCTTCCAGCATGTAGGCCCCAGGGATTGAACTTGGGCCTTTAGGCAGTAAGTGCTTTTCCTTGCTGAGCCATCTCACTGGCTCTATGTCAGGCATTATCTTTTTAAATGTGAGTTAGTTGGGAATTGACTTCAGGTCCTCATGCTTGTGTGACTAGAACTTTAATGGTTGAGTTGTCCCCTCCCATTTGAATTTTTTTTAATAAAAAACTTGAGTAAAAATAGACTAAAAGCTGGACCCTGTAGCACTGGTGTCTAATCCCAGTGAGACCACAGGAAATGAGAAATAGAGACAGGAGAATCCCCAGAGGCTCCAGGGCTAGCTAGACACCCCAGGACTGACATCAGAAGCTTGTCCTCTGACTGTCACATATATCCTGTGGCATGTTGTTACCTGCAGGCTCTCTTCCCCCAACATAAACACAAACCAAAACCATCTATTCTGAGAATGGTGGCAAATTTCTGACTCAAAATATTTGAAATATGACTTAGGGAGATTATTTTTTAAGGTTTATCTTTAACTCATTGATACAGCTTTCTAACCAACTCATTAACATAGTCTTCTAAAATGTTACTTCTAAAGAAAAGAGTGTGAATATAGCCTTGAAATAACAGCAGCATCTCTTAGGGACTTTTTACTTGGCCACAAGCTAAACTGTTGCTTTGTTAGCAATAGAATGAGAAAGTGACTTTTTTTTTTTTCCAGTACAGAAACTGTAAGAGGGCTTCTAAAGTTAGGAAACAAAATGCTGTGTAAGCAGGTAGTTTTTAATTTCTTAAAAAAGGAAAACAAACAGGGTAGAGTTTGATTTCCTAAAGTCATGCAAACATCATGCCCATAGCCACGATTACAGAGGAAGTTTGTGGTGAAGTGTTTGGAGGGACTTGGGGTGATGCGTTACCAGAAGAAAAACTAACATTTTAAAAAAGAATGTGGTAAGAATACAAATACAAATGTGACTGACTTTAAAAAGGCAAGTTTTCATCCTCCAAGTGACACAAAAGACTGCATGAAGTAGGGTCACAGTGGCTAGTGGGGTTAGCTCAACTGTAGAGGATTCGGCTAGCAAGAACATGGTCCTGGGTTCAATCTCCACACATGAAGTAGGTTCACAGTGGCTAGTGGGGTTAGCTCAACTGTAGAGGATTCGGCTAGCAAGAACATGGTCCTGGGTTCAATCATCTCCACACATGCACCCAAACGTGACCAGAAGCAGAGTGAGTGCCAGTGGGCTCCCTCCTGCTCTAAAGATGTAGAAAAAATGGTTTGTACATTTCCAAGTTTTGGGGCTTGGATACAAGGTTCCATTTCCTATGGTATAGAGTAAGCTATATGTTTCTGTGTCCTGTGTATTTTATAGACTTGTCAGCAATCTTTGGAAGAGTCTAAGGCACTGGCTAACCAGAACCCTCCACATCTTCTCATTACCCATGCAATGAGGGTAACATTAAAACAAGAAAATAGTATAGTATGGTATTCTTTTAATCCTATGAAAACATTTATGCATTAGGATAGAATCTTTTTTTTCCTTTGAAATATATTTTAAGACCCAAATGGATAATTATTTGTTTAGATATAATACAGGGTGAAGTTGGGAGAGGAAATAGACCAATATCAGCCAGACTTTTTGTTTTAATGGACCTTTAAAAATAACAGTGCTAATGCTAATAAGATAGACTAGTTAAGAATGAAGCAGGAGGATTATAAATTCCAGTCTAGCCTGGACTAGAAAGCATGACTGTCTCAAAAACAAACAAATAAACAAAACCAAATAAATACTGAGTAGAGAATATTATATTTGTTGGGAATGCTTAAAAAAATTAAATCCTTACATTTTTATTTCATGTTTATAAAAAAATTTAGAAAGGTCAGAGTCTGGTTTGTTTGTTTGTTTGTTTGTTTTTGAGACAGGGTTGCACTGTGTAGACCCAGCTGTTCTGGAACTCACTCTGGAGATCAGGCTGGCAGATACCCCTAGTCTCATTTGTCCCAGGCTAGCCTCAAAAGTAGCCAAGGATGACCTTAAATTTCCTACCCTCTAGCTTCTACCTTCCCAGTGCTGGAAGCACTGATTTATGAGTGCTGGAGAATGAACCCAAGGACAGGAAAGCACTGTAAAATGAACATATTCAACTATATAAAAAGTGTATTACATACTACAGATAGTAAAAATTTCAACACAGATAACACACTTTCAAGCCCCCCCCCCCCATATCAGGGAAGTAACACTCTAGTTAGGCAAATGCTCTTTATCGCTAGCCACTTCCCAGCCTTGATGCTAACTCTTAAATTAACAAAAGGAAAAAAAAAACCCAAAATACTACATGTTAAATAACAGCCTTCTAAAATGTAAAATTATGTGCTCAGGGTTCATGGAGGCATGTCATTGACCTTTGTTTTATGAGGCAATATACTGTTTCTGCACCAGGTTAACTAACCGGAAAGAATTTAGGAAGTCTGTCTGTGAAACTACAGGTCAAAGTTGGTATTCAGAAGACCCAAGAAAGTTAAGCCACGAGTGTGTGAACCATGCGAATTACTGAGTTATTTTTGAACGCTACATGGGTCAGCTACACTTACTGACATGTCCATTAAGTTATTTTCTTTCCGGGTATGATCTGGAGAGTTTGGTGCCGAAGGCAGAGGGACACTGATGGAGACCGCGGGCTAGAGGAACCGGTTGGGTCTCCTCTTGCCAGCACACCCTATGTTGAGCGAACATGCCCTTTCCTGAGAGGAGCAGGAGATTCCTGGCTCTGGCACAAGCCCGGCTGCCCCTGGCAATGCCGCTCTTCTACCTGGAGACCAGTTTTGAAGTTAACTTTTCCCTCTCCACAGTGTGGGAAGCGAGCTTTCTGTTTCTCGAAGGTTCCAAGGCTAGAGAAAAAAGGCGGGAAATAAACAGAGGCGAGGCCTCCATGTGACCCGCCGCGCTGCCTGCCGGGAGCTGTGCACTGGGGCGCCTGCGCAGAGGAACACGAAGCCTTCGCTGTTCTGAGGCGGAAGGTTGTGGCCGAATCTCCGATTGCGAGTGGGACAAGAGGGTGAGCGCGTGCGCCCGTGATGGGGGGAAATGGAGTGGAAAGGAAAGCAGCGGGTGGGGATGGGCGCGGCCTCTGTGGGCCCGGGGTCTGGCGTGTGTGGGGCGGCAGAGCAAACCGGAAGGTGTGAGGGAGGCCAGGGAAGGAGGCGGGAAATGGCGTGAGGAGACGGCAGCACAGTGAAGAGATCGCCAAAGAAGGCCGTGGCGGCAGGGGTAGCACACACCTATAATCCCAGCACTCGGAGCAAGGGGGCAGGAGGATTGCTGCGACTTTGAGTCGGTCCTCGGCTACCCAGGGAATTCTAGGTTAGCCTGGTTTATGTGGTGAGTCTCAGTCCTGGAAAATCCGAAACCAAACCAACCACAGTCTGCAGAAGGAAAACCCAGACAAACAGCAAACAGCCGCACAAGGTGATGCCGTGGATGGCACAGCCACAAGTCTCTGATGTTTTCTTAGGGTGAGGACCTGCCTGTTAACCCAGACTTTGGCTAGTCAGGAGGCTTAGGTTGTGTCAGGAATCACGTTTACAAACACAGAATTACCTAATTATAGAAGTTTTATTGTGCTTTTATTATTTATTTATGTATACGTTCTGTTCGTTTGAGAAAAGAAGAAGCAGAGAAGGGAATACTAAAAGGGGAAGAAGACTTTTTCCTTGTGTGGGCGTCTCTGAGATAACTTTCCGGTTCTTTAGGAATGTCAATCCATCCATGCGTGCATTTCCTGCATGTTAGGTTGTTAGCGCTTCAGCTTAGTACCCTGAAAGTAATGGTAGGCACTTGGAAGGACTGTGCTGAAGTTAGAAGTGCCTTTATAATCTGCCTTTTGCTCTTGTTTCCATCATATGTATATTACATATAAACACTCAGATTCTCTGTAGTTAAATAACTCATGATACTTACAAGAAACAGATAGAGCTGGGTGTGTGGCGAAGGCCACACACTGGCGGCAGAGAGAGTTTGAGGCCAGCCTGGTCTACGGAGAGAGTTCCAGACAGTCAGGGCTGCACAGGGAAACCCTATCTCGAAACACCAACAAATAAAAGAGAAACAAACAGATAATTTGAATGTAAATAGTTCTTCAACCCTAAAATACAGTGGAAACCATCCTTCTAAGTTCCAGTGTCTTTTCAAATTTAAGTCTGAAGAGTTCAGATTCTCAGGAAAATGGCTTCAGAATTTATGGGAAAGCAATTTGATGCCGTGTTATGGTAAGGGCAGGGCAATGAAAACAATCTCAGACTAGAAGAATGAAGAGATCTTATTTCTGGACTAGCTCAGTTTTATTTGTTTACATGTCATCAACCATCTCTTTCTGTCCTTTCAAGAAGGAAGAAAGGGGAGCTCTAACATGCTTTTATAAAAAAATTATTCTTATCATATATTACATTCCTACCTCAGTTTCCCCTCCCTCTACTCCAAGCCTCTTCCCCCCACCTCCCCTCTTCCTAGATCCACTCCTCCATTTCCCTTCAGAAAAGAGCAGGCCTCTCAGGGATCACAACCGAACATGGCATAACAAGCTACAACAAGAGTATACACAAACCCTCGTTATCAAGGCTGCATGAGGCAACTCAGTAGGAGGAAAAGGGCCCCAAGAGCATCTAACCTCTAATTTTAACATTAACATTTTATAGAGACAGAAGAATCATAAATCTTCTAGTGCTAAAACAAGATAGAATTGCCAGTGAGTTTAGTTGAGCTCCTTTACAGACGAGTAGTTGAAAATGGTGTGGATAATAAATTGGTCTCCGATGATGGAGGCCATTGGATACTGTGATAAAACTTGAGTTTACTGACCCAGAAGGTGTTGAATGGAAAAGTTTTTTTTTTTTTGTTTGGTTTTTCGAGACAGGGTTTCTCTGTGGCTTTTTGGAGCCTGTCCTGGAACTAACTCTGTAGACCAGGCTGGTCTCGAACTCACAGAGATCCGCCTGCCTCTGCCTCCCGAGTGCTGGGATTAAAGGCGTGCGCCACCTCCGCCCAGCTTGAATGGAAAAGTTTTGAGAGACAGGATGAAATAGAGAGGGGAGAAATTAAATTTAAGTGGCAGATCAGGAGAGTAGAAATAATGATGGTGGAGGTGGGAAAAGAACCCAGGTGAAGAAAACTGTAGTGTGGACTTTGTGCCTAAATTTGACAAATCTCTAAACTTTACAGTTTGCGCCTCCAGAGTATAATGGCAAACCACCTCGTAAAACCTGATTCTAGAAACTGCAAGAGGTCAAGAGAATTGGAGGTAAGTTTTATGCTCCTGGAACCTTTTAATGTATTTTACTTATTTCTGGTTTCATCTTCTTCAAGAAAGTGCTATTGGTAAATAGAATTTAGTGTTCTCGTAGTCTCAGAGGTAGGATTGTCCTAGCAGGAGCTATGTTGACTCTACCTAGTTTTTCCACTAAGAACAGATCTATAAAAATCTACTTGGTAACCAAAAGTAACCAAGGTGAGTCCATGTCTTTTGGTACATGGGGTTTTACATGAAAAATTATTTGCTAAGATGAGTAAAATTCTTATATGCCATAGGCCCATCTGGTGATTGTACTTAGACCATCAGATTTTAGTGGCTGGTGCTTTCTTTCACTGCTGAGCCATCTCACCAGTCTCTATATTGCAAAATTTTGCAACCATTTATCTGTTGTCTAAATTACAGTTATCTTGTTATTATAAAAATATCCACTGGTGCAAGATACAGGACTGTTTTTCATTAAGAGTTAAAAGCTATTTTCAAAATCTCCAAACCTAGCAAAATTTAGTATTTTAAGCAAGGTGTTTATTGTGTCTAAAGGTTTCCTTGATGATAAAAATTTAAATAACCGGTATGGAATCTCTAGCATGTCTGCTTTTTATTTTATTTTTCTTTTTTTATGCTTTTTTTTTTTTTTTTACTTTTCGGTGCTTTCCTAGTCCAATGCTTTCCCACTGAACTAATCCCCAGCTCCAAGCATGGAGTTTCAATTCTAATTCTGAAATACTGGGGACTGAACCTACAGCCTTAAGGATACTAGGCAAACAACTAGCACAGAAAGAGCTGTGTCCCCAACCCCCCTGGAAAAGTTTGCTTTGCTTTTTTAATAAACAGAATATATATGTCTAAAGATCTTACCATTGATTGGTTTTTGTCTTTTCTTAGCCTCAGGTGTCAGATAGTCCACAGGTACCCTCGCTTGGAAAATTGGATTCTTCTTTCTCTGAAAGTTCTGGACTCCTTTATAAAGAGGAAGCCCTAGAGAAGGATTTAAGTGGTGATGTATTAATAATGCTTATATTTATGTGTATTGGCTGGATCGCGCATAAACTTCATTAGATTTTACAACCTACCCATTTTTTTGAACAGATATGAGCAAGGAAATTAATCTGATGTTGTCTACATATGCAAAGATTTTGAGGCAAGTAATTATGGTATTTTTTGAGTATTTTTGTTAGAAATCCTTTTCTCTTGAAAAATCAGTAATGAAAAATTTAATTCCATGACTTAAAAATCTATCTGGTAACTAGAAATTTGAAGTTTCACTTTTGTCTTGATTCCTTATGATAGATGAGTTGAATATTTTAAGGGAATAATCTCCAATTTGTCCAAACATCGTTTGTCATATTTTTAGTGCTAATACCAGTATGGATGTATCTTGGTCTCTAGATGATCGTATCTTTAAAATTTTATTCAAGTACCTCTTTGAGAGTAGGGTTTTTTTTTGGTGAAATTAATGTTAAGGGGGTTTTATTAGAGATGAATATTTCACATATTTATATCCTATTAGTATACATTTCAAGACTGACTTTAAATGTTGATTTGAGAATTTGAAGTGTTACAAGCTGCTTTATAAGCTACTGGAAAGTCACTATACCTAAGTGATAGTTTAATTTTAATAATTTATAACTAAAGTATATAAGATGCACTTTCGGTGTGTCAGGAGACTTTTTAAGTAGTCAAAATATTTGCAGGACTGATTTAATATTTTCTTGGAGAATATTAGTAAACTAATTAAGTTCTATGAACTTAATTGAAGCATGAAAATGAAATAGCTAACAGATAAAGAATAAAGGACATGACATAATAGCATGTCTAGACTTTATAACTCATTTTAACATCAAGCCATTCTTCCTGTTAGTGAGAGAGCAGCCGTAGATGCGTCTTACATTGATGAACTAGAGAGACTCTTCAGAGAAGCCAATATTATTGAAAATTTTCTGATCCAAAAAAGAGAGTTCCTGAAGCAGAGGTTTGCAATGATTACCAACACACTGCAAAAGTAAAGTGCTTATACTGAAAGTTGGTCTGTATTATTGCTGTATTCTACTTGTTAAAGAAAATATATGAAGTAAACTGTAACTTTCTAAATTTAAAAGGGTTTTAATATGAACAGTAATATAAAGCTTGTAATCTTTCTTTTGAGGGTTGAATATTTGGCACATTATATAAAAATGTAAATTAAAAATATGTGTTATTTTTTTTCTCCTTTACTCCTAAATTGCTTAACTCTTCTTAAATTGTAAAAGAGGACTCGGTTAATTTGATTATGCCTAACAATATTTGTTTAACTAGCAGCTAATTTTGGAGATAGTTTTCTTGGTTAGTATTGTAAAAGAACTTAAACATTAAAGGTCCTTTGTCCAGTTTTTCAACATATAATAAAATATAACTATGTGCTGCTGCTATTTAATATTACCATTTAATTTTACTTTTAACCATTATATTTGACTAATAAAAATTTGACTTAAAACATTTTCATTTGATAAAAGTAGTAAAATAAAAATTCAAAGTTGCTGTAACCTGACTATTTCTTTATTTTTTAAGCATCATGCTGTATGGAACCCAGGTGAATTCATGGTACATCTGTCTTAACCTCTAAAGTATCAGCACTATGGTTATGTACCACCAAGTCAGGCTGTCTGGGTGACTTTTTACCTAATAACCACATGGGTTTTTGAAGCTGATGAATTATATTTATAAGCCTTAGCTGTAGGGTGGATGAGATGGAGATTAGTAATATGGAACTCAGGAGGTCAGCTTAACCATGTCTTTGGCAAGGCCACTTCAATCCTAAGATAATGTAAAGTTGAATTTGGTCTAAAGGGTCTCTTGTAAAATAAATCCTCTTTTGATACAAATAAAATACAGCTATGATTTTATTCAAAATGGCCTATATAATATATAACTACATTATTTGGGTTAAAAAAAGAAATCTCCATTTTCAGTCATATACACAATTTTATCTTCTGTATATGTATTTTCCAATATAAGCAATTATAACTTGGGTTCATTTGCATCTGGCACAATAAGGAATTTGTATTCTTAAAGTAGGCAGAATCTTACCTTGCTGCCTATAAACTTTAAAATAAATTTTTATTTTAACAAGTTTCTTTTTTGTTTGTTTGAGACAGGATCTATGTAGCCCTGGCTGACCTAGTACTCACTATGTAGTCCAGTCTGGCCTTGAACCCTCAGAGATCTAGCTGCCTCTGCCTCCAGAGTGATGGAATTATAAGAGATAAGAAAGGGAAGGAATGGGGTGCTGAATCCTGTATCTTGGTATTTTTGCTTCCTAGCAGTGTTTGCTACTTAGATTCTCAAAGATTCTTGTTAAAGTAACAAATTTATTTGTGGTTCTATATATTCATGGTGTCCTGACTATGCTTTATCGTGAGAGAATGCTTTCCATAAGATTAATGAATGTGGAAGGAAATGGACGAAAGGGAGACGGGTGAGCTGTCTGCTGGTCTAAATTTGGACTTTATTCTGTGTCTGAATCATTCAGGAGAGAAATTGTGTAATGAACACCTAAATCCTGTTCCATGGACTTAACTACAGGTAGGGGCAGATTCCAGAAAGGGATGGCCAAGGAGGGAGATTATAATTGGTCTGATTTTGATGTCGAAACAAAGATTATTTATAGTTGGTTAGGATACCTGCCATGGAACTAAGTTCACTAGTGTTTTGAGGCCCCACCCCTTGTCTTCCCTCTCCCCAGTCCCATTTTGTCACAGGGGCAGAGACAACCCAGGCTCATTTTTACTTAATAAGGCCAGTGCCTTCGGATTTGGAAATCTTAAGACCTGCCTGCTGCCCCTGAACTGAGCAAAAGTTTTCTCAAATCTTTCTCCGTTTCCTCAGCAGCCTTCCTGCCACTGCAGGGGGCGTTCTTTCTGTGGCAGTGCACCAGCTCCCAGGTAGGGGACTCCCCCAATCCCTTCCTTCCTGGTCCCCTTCTTACCAGTTTTCAGGTAGATTGCTGGGACTCCGTCCTGAAGATTATGGCAGCCTTCTAAAGTTTTTCCCTCTGTGTGATGCAAGCAGCAACTCCACAGAGGGAGAAGTGAAAGAAGGCTGACAGGATTGGTTTACTCATTGTGAAGGAAACAGTCATTGTGTTTACTCAGTTAATGCAACACACTAGGGCAGAATTAGGTCTAGAGATTTTTCTAGGATGCCTCATCAGAAGGGGTTTTCTCTATTCTGACTTTTCCAAACTGAAAACCACTGCTTTATATTCTCTGTAAATGTTTGGTTTTCGTATTTGCATTTTCCGAACTGGTTTCACACCCTGTGGCTTTTCTTTTGTAACTTTCTTTGTAACTGGTATTTCAAGAATTTATTTTCAGTAATTGGTTGATATAGAACTGCCAGAAGTTACACCAATATACACAGTAAATTATAAAGTTACCTAATCACTTAGGGCTTGCAGTGTGTGTAAGGCAGTGTGTTAGGTGTTAGGGCGAGGAGAGGTAAGCTAGACTTTGTATTCTAGGAGTACTTCTCGGAGAGGCTGTAAAGTGTACTTATCTTTATCACACAAGACAGCCAGATAAGGAGCACAGGGACACTACCAACAGCTGCAGTGAGGAAATGGGGATGTGGTGCTTAGGAAGCAGGTGACTGAGAAACTAGAACTTGAAGGTTAAATTGCACACGACAATTTCATATAAAGGAGATGGGAAGATCCTGGGTGTAGAGAGTAGATTATTCATGAGAAGAGATTAGGGTATAGTTCATTTAGGTGGAGTGAACAGCTAGGTTGGGGTGAGACTAAACAAGGCTGTGAGTTAGGGATAAATGATACGGCCAGATTTGTGTGTAGGAAACTTGAGTTAGGAGTAGTGCATCTCTGGATTTGTCAGATCAGTACACTGGTGTAAAACCATCTTCCTGGCTCATCTCATTTATCCTACAGATAAATTAGAATCTGGAGTCCTGAGGAGCTATTTAGAGCTGGAGGCAATTGGCCTGAGGTCTCCGACTCTTAAGATGGCCCAGGGGCTCAAGTAGCTCATGAAGTAGGAAGCTCTGGTGTGTGGAAGCAGCTTCATTCCTCACCGAGTTTCTCTTTCCAGCTTCTCCTCCAACTGGGAGGTTGAGGAAGTGACTCAGAGGAAAGAGAAGTTTAGGCACAGAGCCAAGCAAGAAGCACTTTTAGGTTAGGAAAAAATGTGTAGTCTCAGGGAGGAGAGACTGGTGAGAATAAAGTTACCCATGCAGAATTTTGAGTCTGGGAAATTTATACTTAAGCCATGGAAGTCTTTTTCAAATTTCCCCTCCTGGTCCTGTGCTGCTGTGGTCAGAAGAACTGTGTTGTAAGGGCAGAGAACAAGATGAGTTCAGTGCCCACAGAGAGACTAAAGTGAGGTGTTTTAGCCGGTGAAAGAACTGATTCAGAAGAGAAGGTCAAGTGTTGAGAGTCATGTCTAAGACATAACTGGAGTATTTAAGAGCCAGGATGAGATTCCTAAGGAGGAATGCCGAGATTAAAGAGTAAAGGTCCAAGGTTATACCTGGACATTTATGTGGTGGTAAGAGGGAAAGGAGATTAACATTTGTAAAGTATTATATTTAATTATGATGATAGATAGAGGCAGGAATCATTAACCTCTCTTAATCCTTATTTTATCATGGAAAAACTTGAGGTTCGATGGGGTTAAGATGTTTGCCTGAGGTTGTCAACTAAAGAATAAGAAAGCTGACAAAAAGCAGCATAGTTAGAGGACAGCAAAATTAAAACAGTAATTAAATGTCAGAATAGCTTGTCTCCCAAGCCAAGAACAGAAGCAGGTATATGGAGATGGTAGCATATCAAATATCTACCATATCAAATATTACAAGAAGCTTGAAGAGGGCAAGATTGCCAATAACATAGAGTCCAGAGCATACAGATATCTAAATATAATCTAAAATGAAGGGGCAAGAGAGATGGCTTAGTGGTTCAGAGCACTGGTTACCGTTCAAGATGATCTGGATTTGATTCGCACCATACACATGGTGGTGCAAACCATCCTTCACTCCAGATTTGGGGAATCCAGTACCTACTTCTGACCTCTGAGGGCACCAGGCATACACATAAAATGTGAAATACTTAGAATTCATGTGTACCTAATTGGGCTGTTCAGTTTAACTCTATGCGAAATAGTTAATCTGCTTTTTATCAGGAAATTTTAATCTAAGAGGAGAATAAAATAGATTCACTGCTGTTTACAAAAGTAGAGTTAAGAAAAACAAGATTTTTTTCCCCAAAGCCTTTTTTTTGTTGTTGTTTTGTTTTTTCAAGACAGGGTTTCTCTGTAGCTTTGGGGCCTGTCCTGGAACTAGCTCTTGTAGACCAGGCTGGCCTTGAACTCACAGACTAGAGAGTCTGTCTCTGCCTCCCTAGTGCTGGGATTAAAAGTGTCTGCCACCACTGCCTGGCTCAAAGCATTTTCTTAATACCTCTACACACCATCATTCCCATGTTTTCATATAGTTACTTGCTTTATAACACATACTATGTATTATTATGTATAGAGTAGAGTGGAGTTCAGGAATTTGGATTTGAGCTCTTGTACCAGAGAGTAACAGGGAGGCATGATACCAGAGTGACTCATCTGACCCCTTGGATAACAAGTTCCTCTTGTTGGGGTTGGAGGCTTTTCAGTATTTCTGCAATGTCTAGCTCTTTGTAGAAAAACTAACATGTTTCAAAGAAAGAAAATCCATAGTGCATCTTATTGTATCGATCATTAGACATTAAATAAATAATACCAAGCATTTTGGGGCTATGTATGTATTCTAAAGTTTCCAGTAAACTTGCATGATCACTTAGTATGTAAGGCATGATAAGAATTTTTATTTCTCTATCTTAGAAGAAAAAGCACAGAGAGGTTAAAAAACTTACTTTGGAAATGACATAAGAGTTGAACCTAGACACTCTAGACTACTTACTCTCTTTAAAGGAAGGAACATTTAAGTTAGACCTTGAACAACAGGTGTAATTCCTGCATCACTCTAGGTACAGTTCACAGTTCGCAAGCTGGGCAAAGTCTTGGAGATTAAAACAACACACACACTAGACCTGGGTCATTCAAGAGGAGATAAGCCGAGTGCCATTTATTCAAGTTTAGGAAAAAACCTTATATACCTAGCTGTTGCACAATGGAAGTCCCCCCAGGCAGGTGGGAAATTACCGCACCCAAGGTGGAGTAAACAATTGCCCTATAGCTAACTGATGTAGGAGGTTCTTCTGTCTATGTGTTGCTTTCATTGGTTGAATAAAGAAACTGCCTTGGCCTTTTGATAGGACAGAACTTAGATAGGCGGAGTAGACAGAACAGAGTGCTGGGAAGAAGGGCAGAGTGGCAGATGCCTTGAATCTCCTGCCTGAGACAGACATAGGTTAGAATCTTGCTGGTAAGTCACAGTCACGTGGTGTTACACAGATTGGTAGAAATGGGTTAGATCAGGATGTGAGAGTTGGCCAAGAAGAGGCTAGATATAATGGGCCAGGCAATAATTTAATTAATACAATTTCTGTGTGGTTATTTCGGGGGTTAAGCTAGTTGGGCGGTGGTTCGCTGCCTGCTCCTCCTACAACAGCTAACCACCAGGGGCCAGAGGGAGCACAGGAACAAACAGGTTGTTTAGCTGGAAACTGCAACAAGATGTCTGGCTAGAAACTGTCTTCAAGATGAACCCTGGGAGGAGGGGTAGACCCATGGACCCTATAAACAGGTAGAATTTTCTAACCTTTTTCTGTTATGTGTGTGTTTGCATGTGTGTCTACAGGTAGAGGCTGGAGGTTGATAGCAGTTGTCTTCGTCAGTTTCTTTCCACCTTTATTTTTTGAGATGCTCTCTCTCTCTGACCCTGTAGCTGATAACTAACTGGGCTAAACCAGCTGGCCAGCAAACCATAGACTCTTCACTGTACCAGTGCTAGGGTAACAAGGCTTGCTGCTGCACCCAATGTTATTGTCACTCTTTATCTGAGTGTAGGAACTCAAGTCCCATGATTGCACAGTAAGCAACTTGCTGATTGACCTACCTTCTGGTTCTCCCACTTCCCCCTGCTCTCCTCCCACCCTTCTGAGAAGTATCTTACTTGGTAGTCCAGATGGCCTTATATGCTCTTCCCTCTTCGCTTTTTAAGTGCTGGTATTACAGTAGTGTGCCACCTCAACAGCCAAATATTCTTGTTTTATATATGTGTATATATATATATATATATATATATATATATAATTAAAATAGAAGAAATTAAATCCAAATCTTGATAAATACTTAGAGATCAAAGTGAAATCTTTGGGATTACATTCTGACTTACCTAAGGTACCATTATCAATATAACTATGGAAATATTGAATGGCCACCATTTCTCTCTAACAATTAAATTGACATTACTACGTCTGGGGTTAATAACATGAGGAGTTAATCTAGAAAAGGAAAAGAATTGTTCAACTATGGGAAATGACAATAGTAGTAACTAAGGTATTATGTTAACACTTCATGTTTTGGTTTGATTTTTTTTAAAAAATTTCTTTTGGGAGACACTGTAGCGGTGAGGGGAGGATATGGAGAGACTGCAAGGAGACTAGAATTAGGGTGCATGATGTGAAATTTCCAAAGATTCAATAAAGAATATTAAAAAGAAAAAAAAGGAAAAGGAAAGGCGAGAAGAATTTGGAGACTGGTTTAGGTTCACATTTCCCTCAAGCTCTCATTCCATAGAATTGCCTGGAGGGGTTTTATGTTAGCAGGAGGTCCTGTAACAATGTGTGTGTTTGTGCTTGTGTCTGTAGTGGAATAAACATGTTAACAAGAGATCCTGTAACAATATGTGTGTGTGCACGTGTGCATGTGTGCACATGTGTGTGCTTTTCGCTTCTCTTTCACAGTTTCGAAGAAGCACGTGGGAAATACTCACCAAACACCATGTCGAGACAACAAGAGAGTCTGTTGTGCATTGCTCCACTGCTGACCACGGTGGAGGAGACACTGGACACCATCTCTGCTCAAGTCCGAG